GCCGTCTCCGCAGCGGCGCGTTTTCTTGGCGGCGAGGCCCGCGCCCTCCTCCCGGGAAAGGGGCCGCGCGCGGGGCCCGGGGAAAGCTCGGAGCGCAGGACCGAGCGGGGGCCTGTTCGGCGCGTCCCGCCCCGCCACCGCCCCGCCGAGCAAGAGAGAGGCGGTCCTTTCCCCGTTATTTTAAAAAAGCACCGTCCACGCGTGTGTGGTGCTGTGCGTTACGTAAAGAAACGCCAAATAATTACAAAAATGAAATGCGAGAAGAACAAACTCAGTTCCTTTGGTAACTCAAATAGGGAGAATAGTTGCTGTCGGGCGCTGGCGTGTCGCATTTGACACGCGTGTCGTGCGCTAGCCGTCACTGGTCCGGGCTCCGCTCCTGCACTTACGTGCCTTCTATGGACTTTCTGTTGAATTGATGACCTCTGGATGTGGGGACCACGAAGGGTTAAGGAGGGAGGGGAAAGAGTAAGATGGCAACTACTGATAGAAGGGCGGAAGTCATAATTCTGTTTTCTTTCTTTTTACTTTTAATTTTGTATACTTCTATTGTATTGAAAAAATATCTAATTAAAAAACACCTATTTTTTAAAAAACAGACTCTCTGCTCCTGCTAGTGTATCCCAAGGTAGTGTTGGCCTTTTTAGCAGCTGCCTCACACTGCTGGCTCATGTGATCTACTAGAGCACCCAGATTCTTTTGACAGGTACTAATGCCAAGCCAGGTATCCCCCACTTTACAAGTGCACTTTCATTTTTCCTGCCCAAATGCAGAACTTGACAATTCTCACTTTCAATTCCATGCTATTCATTGCAGCCCATTGCTCAAGCTTGCCTAGATCTTTCTGAAACTTCTCTGTCCTCTAAAGTATTAACTACCCTTTCTAGTTTTGTATCATCAGCAGACTTCCTACGTGCCCTCTCAACTCCCTCCTCCAAGCCATTGATAAAGATACTGGATAGCGCACGGCCCAGGACAGAACCCTGTGGGATTCCTCTCAGTACTTCCCTCCAAACTGAACTAGAGTCATTAAGGAGCAATGTTTGGGTGAGGTTGTTCAGCCAACTGTGAGTCCACCTAACAGCGGTGTCGTCTAGCCCCTATTTTACCACTTCGTGAAGGAGACTCTCATGAGGCACTTTGCTGAGGTTATGTTTGGGGGCTTGGGTTTGCTTCCTTTTCTCATTCTTACACTGTGACTGTCATTTTTCCTCCAAGAGGCAGAAGCTACTAACATAACTGCTTTCAGTGCATCCTGAGCACTCCTCACATAGGGTGATACCTTTGTTTTTTTTTAAATGTAACTATATATCAAGAAAAATGTATCTGTGTATCATTTTAGTAACACCATACAGATAATCCTCACTCAGTGACCACAATTGGGCCTGGCAACTCAGTCATTAAGTAAAGCGGTTGCTAAGTGAAACCACAACTGTGCTTTTGATCTTGCTTCAGGTTTCTTTTGCTTTACAGACCTGCGAAGATCTTAAATGCAAGGATTGGTTGTAAAGTTACTTTTTCATCACCGTCGTAACTGAATAACCACTAAATGAGGACTACCTGTAAAGATACTACCTCCTAATGGGAGCTTTTTCCCATAAAGGCAGTGATAGTACATGGCTATTTGGATACCTGCATGATCAGAAATTGTGACTGAATCAATATAGCATTTCTTAACTTACTTGAACCATCAATTATTAAAAATAGTCCACTATACAATATTGATTGATTGACTGATTGATTTAATAAATTTATATGGCCTCCCATCTCATATACATGACTCTGGGTGGCTAATGGTTAAAAACAGAATAAAAACATAGTAAAAAAACAACCCAAATTAAAAGCAACAGAAATAACATGAAATAGCATAGCAGCTGCGAACACTCGTGTAACAAATCAAGCCCGGCCTCAAGCCCATTTCCAGGCAGGGAAGATGAAACAACTATCGAGGCTCCAGGCTTGATGGCAAAACCAGGCTTTCAAGGCCTTGTGAAAGGCCAGCAGGGTTGGGCCAAATCTGATCTCTGATAATCTGGATAAACACAACTGGGGAGAGCTGTTCCTGTAGGCAGTCTGGTCCCAAGCCATGAAGTGCTTTAAAGGTCACCGCTGGCACCTTGCATCGCTCCCGGAAGCATACCGGTAGCCAATGCAGCTCGCAGAGCAGAAGGTATCGCGTGTGCTGAATGACCTGCATGCATAACAGCCTGCATTGCTGCATTTTGTACCAGCCGAAGCTTCCCAATACTGTTCAAGGGCAGCCCCATGTAGAGCGCATTGCAATACAGGGAGTTCCAGCGTTAAGAATGCCCGGTTTAAGGGCAACCCATAGTTAAGGACAGAGCCTATTGTAGCAAAATTTGAGTTAAATACACAATGGTTCAAGTTAAATACACAATGGTGCATGTTTGTTGCACAATACCACTTACATAGTATTATATAATCATACTGCTCTGGCTTACATACAAATATGACTTGAGGACAGATCTTGGGAATGGAACTCGTTCTTAATTTGGGGACTCCCTGTGATCCAAGCAGGAGGTGACTAAGGCATGACTGACTGTGAGCAGAGCCTGGTGCTCAACATAAAACTCTGCAAAGCCCCTTCTGTCCACAGCTGCCACCTGCTCTTCGAGCAGGAGCCGCAAGTCCAGGAGGACCCCCAAATTGCGCACAGGATCTGTCTGGGGCAGTGCTACCCCATCCAGAACAAGAGTTGGAACGTCCCCAGAACCAGGAGGTCTTAAAACCCAAAGCCACTTGGTCTTACAAGGGTTGAGCCGAAGCCTGTTGTTCCCCAATATGTTCTTTGTGGGATTGATAAAAAGTGTGTTTCTGTTTATTTGATTTTATTATCTCCATATATCCATTAAGTTAAATCCATTGATGTTTGTAACCATGTGGACTCATTTTTTTCCCCATAAAATCTTATACTGATTTTATGATCCACAGCTGTGGATCCATAATTAAATTCCCAGGCTAATATTATTTGATCCACGTATGTAATGAAAAGATCTGCAAAGCAGTTATATAAAAATCAGAAGATTACTTGATTAAAATCACTCTCCCCTGGCAGTTAAAAGAATTTCATCATCTCCCTCAAAACTCTAAGAGTGATGCAGAGCCACAGGGTTAGGGTTACTTCTTCTCAGAACTCTTCACAAACAATCCACATGTTATTTTCACAGTTCATAGAACAGAGAGAAACAACTGCAGCTTTCCAGATATCATCTTGCTAGAAGTCCTCTAAGACTGAAGGGATAAGACAGAGAACCATCTTATCTCAAGTCAAATATTGAGATGTTCTATTTTGTTGTATCTAAAAGTAAGCCTAGAAATATCACAGAGATGCCAGTATTCTCCTAATGGGATAGTCTGCTTCAAGATAATCGTTTGCAGTGCAAAAAGTGAGAGAGCCAGAAACAATAAAATGGCAATATATTACAGAATCTCTTGTTGGGCTTCCATCCAAAGATTAACAAGGGTTCACTCTGCTTGGTTTGTCCAAGATCAAGCCCAGTTCCAGGCAGGGAAGATGAAACAGGTGCAGAGAAGGCCAGCAATGAGGTTCAGGTTATAAACTCCTTTGCGGAGAAAGGGAATTGGGTAGATGAAACTTCAGCAAAAGATGATTGGGTGGAAAATGATTGCCCTTTTCAAGTACCTGGAATTGTATTGCATGGAAGACCCTAACTGGCTCCTTCCAATTTCATGGTTCAGTGCAGCTATCCGTTATTCGCCCATTGTCTCTTGACTACGACGTTTAACTCCTGCTGGCCCTAATTCCTTGCCTTCCCTCTCAGACAAGGTCCTTCCTCCTGTGGGAGCTGCTTTTATCTATTGGAATAAAAGCAGGGGAGGGACACAGAAATCTTTGCATTTATCTAGCTATAAAAACATCAGCCACTGCTCTACCTCCTGAGCTTCTAACAACAATTCTGCTATTCAGATGGAGTGCTCCAATGTCAGGGTGTTCTGAGAAACCTACTGGTGACAGACACAGAAACAATCGCATTTTGTCTTTGACATTTTCTTTGTCAAATTTTGTCCTGTCCTACTTGAATGACCTGCAGTATTGACATCACCTTCTCTACAGGAAGGCAGCCACTGATGAGAGCAGTGATGCTCATCCAGTCACGCTTTTGGGCTTCCCAGACATCAGCAGGGCCACAATTATAGAATCACTGAATCATAAAAATGTGGTGTTGGAAGAGATCATCTAGTCCAACCTCTGCAACATGCAGAAAAATCAATTAAACTATCCTTAAGAAGTAATTGTCCAGCCTTCAAATCCTCTAGATATGGAGAATCCACCACTTCTATGGATAGACTTTTCCACTTTGGGACATTCTTTATCGGGAACTTTTTCCTTATAGTTAAATAAAATCCAGGTAGCTTATTTCTGATCCTAGTTTCTGTGGCCACTGAGAACAGTTCTTGATTGTCTTCTGGACAGGTTTATATACCTGAACATGGCTATCATGCCTGTCCTCTTTTTGCCAGACTGAACATCCCATGTTCCTTCAACTTGTCTTCACAGGACATGTCCTCAATTCCCTGTATCATCTTTATTGCCCTCCTCTGAATCCTCCTCAGCCTGTCAATGTCTTTCTGGAAATGGGGTGCCCAGAATTGTATACAATATTCCAGGTGTAGCCTGTTAGTGTTGAGTGGAGGGGAATAAGGACTTCATGTGTCTTTGATACCGTGCTTCTTCTAATGCATCCTGCACTCTCCAACTCAGTGTAGGGCCATTAACACAAATTCTGAGTGCAATTAGCCACCTTACTGTTGTGCCATCCAAACCACACTTTAACAATGGTCAGAGAGAATGTCCTGTGAAACCTTGTCAAAAGCAGTGCTGAAATCAAGTTAGATTATATCCAAAGCGTTCCTTTTGTCCACGACAGTAGTTACTCTGTCAAAGAAGGAGATGAGATTTGTCTCACATTATTTATTTTTGACAAATCCATGGTGGCTCTTAGCAATCATGTCTTCAAGATGCTTACAAATGACCTGCTTTTTGCTTGCTGTAATATCTTTCCAGGAATCAATGTTAGGATCTTGGGTCATTAATTACTGGGATCCTTTTTCTTTTCTTTTCTTTTCTTTTCTTTTCTTTTCTTTTCTTTTCTTTTCTTTTCTTTTCTTTAAGAAAGGGGTCATATTTGCTCTTTCCAATCCTTTGATACTCCTGAAAAAAGATTGCTCTTTATTCAGCTCCTTCAATATTCTAGGGTGTATTTCATCAGAGTGTGGGGACTTGAAGGGATCCAACTTAACAAGAAGACCCTTTACTATATCTTTACTGACTTGCAAGCTCCTCTGTTGTGTTCATTCCTTCTATGCTACTGAAATCACTATTTCCACAGAGACAAAACAGTACTTGAGTTCTCCTGCTTTCTCTTGGTCATCTATTCAGATTTCTCTACCTAAAATAAGCAGTAGGCCCATCACCTCCATTGACATTTTCTTGCTATTGACACATTTGAAGGAATTCTTCTTCCTAAATGTTGCCTCTCTTGCTACCCTTAGCTGATTTTCTGCCTTTGCCTTCCAGACCTCATCCCTACATTTGTGGGCTGATGTTTTGTAGACTTCTTTGTTTGTAAGGCCTCCCATTTCCAGTAAGCACCCTTCCTTAGTCCCAGTTTACGTCTTGGTGAACTGCTTGTTCAACCACATCAGTTTCTTTAGATGCCTCCGGTTTTTCTTCTTCATTGATATTGTTGGATGCTGTGCTATCCTCAATTCTCTTTTCAAGAAGTCCCAACTGGCTACAACACCTTTGCTGTTAAGGGTTTCTTCCAAGAATACCTTACTTATTATTTCTCTTAGTTTATTAAAATTTGCCTTCCTAAAATCCATAGTCTGAGTATGGCCATTTTATATCAAGCTTTTTTTTGAAAATCAGGAGTTCTAATAATGTGTTGTACTCATGAGATGACAAGACCCAGGAAACCAGGTGAGAGGAGTCTGATGGGGTGGGAAGCTGGTGGAGAGGAGAAGGGCTGGCCCTGCTACTGCTGATGGGTCTCCCTCCCTCCCTCCCTCCCTCCCTCCCTCTTGTTCTGGACTTCCCTCTTTTAGTCAAAGGAGAAAACTTGCGAGTGCACAAAGGCTTCTTGCACAATTCTGGGCATTTCCTGTTCACGAGAGCAGCAAAACAAGGCAGGGGGGTATGGGAGGAGTGCGTGAGAAGGGGGTGCTACTCAGTTGGCGTTTCTCTCTCTCTTCCACCTTCGCAACCTCAGACACAGGGCAGGTCAGCACACACTTGAGGTTGGAGAGGAAAAGGGCCACCGTGGGAGAATCTGAAGTGGCTGTGGACCAAGACCTCCCCCCCCCCCCTCCCCCTCCCCCTCCCCTTGACAGCCAGGCAAGGAACAGGGAAGGGGCTGGCCAGGGAGCTGCCTGGGCTTTCCCCCTCCCAAAGCCACAAAGGGGCAGGTCCAAAAAGAGCCTTCCTGGAATGTGCGTGGTGGGGGGTGTTGAGGTTATGCCAGTGGAGCGGGAGGCAACTCCCAGGGCTAGCAGTCCTGGCGCAGCCACCCACAACAGAAGCAGTCGCCTCCATGGAGCTCCCAGAGGTATGGGCAGATGGGAAGGAGGGTGGCAACAATGAGGGTCACCTGCCAGGACCCCAAGTTCTTTGGAGAAGAAGCAGAGGGTGGAGTGGAGAGGGTTCCAGGCCAGGCTTGGGCAACCACCTTTGATGCCTGTTCTTTGGATGGGACAGTTCTCAGGGCACAGAGGGCCATCAGCACTCTGGACAGCTGGGGAGAAGAGGAGCAGGGAGAGAGAGGTCCAGCCAGCCACTTTATCCTCTTGGGAAGAAAGGCAACCTCTTGGCCAGATTTCTGCTGTCAAGTTCTATAGCAAAAAACTTTTCTCTCTCCTCCTCCCCCGCCCCCCCCATGGCTTAGCCTTTAATGAGAAAGCAAGACGATTCACAGCTGTCAGAGGCGGGCGAACAAGAGCTGCTTATAATAACCCTAACCCTAACTCTTTTCCATTCACTGGGCTCTGGGGGACTGACCTGCTACTTCACTTGAAAAGTTCATGCTCTTGCCATGATGCAGCTGCCAAACAAGCTTAAAAAAGGATCCATGATTTTCTGTACCTGAAAAAACAAAAACAAAACAGCAACCAAGTTTTCCTCAGTAAAGTCATATGTTTGGGAGAAGCTTCAAAAGTTAGATATTGCTTATCATTTTCCTGGTGGCTGGCCCTTCTGTCAGGTGAAGCCCAAAACATTCATGTTTTTCCCAAAGATCTGGATTTCTTCATAGCTTTGCCAGCCCTTGGCATCATTTCTAAGTCTACAGAGTTAATTCATATTCTGAATGACAATGTCATCTTTCAGAAGCACAATCTTGTGCCTTTCAAAGATTATCTGTAAAACACCCACCCTGTGTTCAGAAGCCATGCTCTGTCTCCTCCATGCTCAGATCCATCCAGGTTGCTCTTATTGCAAAGAGTTTGGGTTGCTAAACAGCTACATTCTGTGGTAACAGAGGGAGAAGGATACTTCTTTTATTTTCTGTTTCTGGGCTTCCTTTGCCAAAAGCTGTGTAGGCACACAGTTTGACCTTGCTCGGATGGCAGACAGAGTGGCTTGCAGGGCAAGGACTGGCTTTTCTTTCGATTAGTCAGGTCTGGACCAATGGAGACCTACTTTTGCAAGCATCTTCCTTCTAGTCTGGATATAACAAAGAGAGGCACTGATCAGGGCGATGATAATGGTACAGCCAAATCATTCCCCATTTTTTAAAAAACTGCTGCAGGTAGATTAGGTAGTGGTTGAGGAAGTGCATGCCAAAAAAGCCACAACAGACTGGAACATGGGTGGGTAAGGAAATACGGATGATGAGGAAGAGAACCAATTTCTATGAGGAGTGGTTGAAAGAACTGTATGTAACCCAGGAAGGATGGCCCTGACCGTGTCCAATATCTGAAAGACGGCAAGGAGAGAAAGGGCCACAATTGCTCCTGGGTACACGGTGGCGTACACTGGGTACACTGGGGACGCGGTGGCGCAGCGGCTTAATGACGCTGAAAGTTGCCGGCCAGAAATGGTTGACGCTTCA